ATTACGGTCGAGTGCAAATGTCGTGAAAATCCGACAGAACTTCCCCGACAAAACGGCCACTACCCTTAAAAGCATGTAATACCCAGGTTGTGGACCCCCCAGAGGTTCGAATTTTCATACAATTTGATATATTCCAAAGGTCAGGGTTCCTTTTAATATTGGACCGTAACTTTCTGGATTATGAACCCTGATAGGACGAAATATCTCGTGTTTAGCTTGTGGATCCTCTAGAGGTCACCATTTTATCTTATTTTCAAAACCGTTCAAGAACATCGCCGTTACATAATAACTATGATTGAGTCCGAAATTCGTGAAAATCCGACCGAAACTTTCAGTCAAATGGCCGCTCCCCTTTACGTAAATAGTATAAAAACATGTAATGCCCAGGTTGTGGACCATCATAGAGGTCACAATTTTTATCCAATTAAGATGAAACTTAAAACGAATATCACTTCTTGAGTGAGTCCAATTTTGGTGCGCATTAGTCCCGTGCCTTTACGCAAAATGTGAAATATGAATGAAGTTTGTGGACCATACATAGGCGACAACTTTTGTCCGATTCATGAACCGTAAACTACATAATGTATATGTTAAGGATCAAAAGTTCTTGGATGAGTTCGACTTTGGTATGTATCAGATCCTCCAGTCTAGAGCTATAGCCACTGCTTTTTACGCAAAATGTGAAATATATATGAATTTTGTCGGTCCTGTGTGTTAAAGTAGCTGAGTCTCTAACTCAATATCATCCAAAATCTTCAACATTGAAAACACGGATTATTTGTCAAATTAAATCAACATTCATGTTGTGATCTTACCGGAAAAGATGGGCTTTTGATATCCAATATTTAAGACAAAATAAATATTTTACCATTGCTACACGAATCGTGTACCATAATGCGCTTCAGCCCCAGTTGTATGAAGAGACTCGAGGGACGAGGCTAGACACATTACACCAAATCAAACGGCGTATGTAGACTGGAATAACCAGACGCTAGAAATTTGCACTCGCTTGATACTGCTGGCTTATTTCGCCGAATATAACTGATTTGAAATTGGAGTAAAAACGGAAACCATTGAATGTAAATCAGTTTATATACATTCATACTACAGTATTATATGCGTTGCGACCCACTTTTGTCAATTTCTAGGTCCCAAATGTGTCAAAAGCTTTTGGACTGTTCGACTTCGGTACGCATCAGACCTTACAATCTACAGCTATTTTACGCAAAATGTGAAATGTGTATGAATTTCGTAGGCCCCCCAGAAGGGCTATAATTATTGTCCCATTCTGATGAAACTTAACAATCAAAAGATATTGAATGAAAGGATGAGTCTTTTCCCTCTTGGGGGGTTGGATGGTCGATTAGCACGTGTGTGCTGTATCGTAAGGCCTGTCATTGAGTCAACTGGCGTGGTTTCGAATCGCCTGTCCAACCTCCCGGGTCCTCCGGTTTTCTCCCACTGCTAAAGACCCATACGCGCAAGCGAATTATTGAAATAAAACTAAACCATATGTTAGTCCCGAAATGACCTAGTTTGTGTCGAGTGGACGTTAAACTCTCTAGAGTGAGATAGAGAGAGAGAGAGAGAGAGAGAGAGAGAGAAATAGACAAAGATGGGGTTTGACGTCCACTTGACACAAACTAGGTCTCGGGTATGGGTCTTTCAGCAGTGGGAGACAACCGGAGGACAGGCGACCCTACTCCTTGTCACGTACAGCCGAGGAATCGATTCCACACCAGCTGATTCAATGACAAACCTTATGATACAGCGCGCACGTGCTAACCATTCGGCCATCCAACCCGCCCTAGTTGTAAGTAGATTTAGAGAATCGTTTGTAGATCTTGATATGTATTTACATTTAGTTTCTATCAAAAACAATAGTGTTAATTAATAAATGGTTGTTCTAATTGTCCATTGTCTGTGGTACCTTGTGGGGGTCCTGCCATAAGTAATCTAAGTTGACCCGGAGACGTGAATATATTCAAGGGAGACAACTACATTTAAAGCACCTACGTAAACAAATCGAAAGTAGTAGACGAAATAGTTGAATATTATAATTATTATATTATAAAGAAGACAGGCATACACCATTCAGTGCGCTATGAGGGAAATTTTGCCCAGGCAGCGGCACTATAGACTACTCTAATATCGAATTCCAACTGCCAAGGGATCTTATTTTACGTGCACGCCATGGTATACACAGGTCCTCGGTTTTTCGTCCCATCCGAACGACTAGACAGCTGTTCTTGTCAGGCCCTCAGTCCTGCACTACTTACAAGGGGGAAACCACGTCGGAAAATCCCTATGAACTTTCTCGACCAATGCAGGGTTCGAACACGCGACTTTCAGGCTAGCGAGCCAGCGCCTTAAATACCAACGTAGCAACCGTGGCTCCAATAGTGACATGAGACTTCGCGACCTACGGAATTTACCGCTGAGGAATATGCAGGACGGTGGGGGGGGGGGGCTGACAAGGACAGCTGTCTAGTCGTTCGGATGGGACCAAAAATCGAGGCCCCGTCTATACAGTTGGAATGCGATATAAGAGTATGCTGTAGTGCCACTACCGGTTCATTAGCCCAGTATAGGTGCAGAACAGTAGTACGTTAAAGCCCATTTCATTTCGTTTGATATCGATAGAGAGAAATAGGGTTTAACGTCCACTCGACACAAACTACGTCATTTCGGGGCTAACACGTGGTTCACGTATAGGGGTCTTTAGCAGTGGGAGGAAACCGGGGTCCGGGAGAAAACCCACGAGGTTTGACAGGTAATCCTATTCCTTGCCACGTACAACCGGTGAATCGAAACCACGCCTTATCATACAGCGCGCATGTGCAAACCATTCGGCTATCCAACCCCGGGGCCCCGTTTGCATTAGCTGCATCTCGGTCCTTCTGTAAAATGGTCGAATCTATTTATCTCGATCCGTTACGGTCGAATTAAAAGAAAATTATAAAAATTATTAAAATGCTGCGTTAAACACGGGACTAAATGACATAGTCGTTTACCTTTGTATAATATTGGATGGCCGAACGGTTAGCACGTGCGCGCGCTGTAGGCCTATCATAAGGCCTGTCATTGAGTCAACTGGCGTGATTTCGAATCCCCGGTTGTACGTGACAAGGAGTAGGGTTGCCTGTCCAACCTCGTGGGTTTTCTCCGGGTCCTCCGGTTTCCTCCCACTGCTAAAGACCCCTACGCGCAAGCGAATTATGAAATAAAATTAAACCATATGTTAGTCCCGAAATGACCTAGTTTGTGTCGAGTGGACGTTAAATCCCATTTCTCTCTCTCTCTCATGTATAATATTCTTGACAACCAGCGATAAATAATACAAACAATGCCATGGGCGTAATTGTTTGCGTAGAAGCACAATAGGCCTTTGTTTTAATTGTTCAATTTATTTAAGTTATTTAAGTTATAAGTGTTATTATTAAGGGCGTTGTCATGTCTAACTTATGGTAACTTCGCAATTAATTCTATATTATTTTTCAAACTCTGCTCCACATAAATTTGGTATGATCTTTGATAAACATCGGAAGCTGCGATTCAAGTCATAGTTTGGACACATATCTTTTGTGGTTTTGAAGATATTAAATTTTGAAATCAGCTTAAAAATGATCAATTTTCGTCATAAATCTAAATAGTTCTCTGTCTTGCCTGATCCGAATTAAATAATTTCTGGCATGCATAGCTAAGATAATCCTTGATAAAATTACGGGAGTATTTTTTCATGGTGCCAATAATAATGCCAAAATTCCAGAAAATCAAAAAAAAAAAAAAAAAAAAAAAATTCATAGGTCGTTATTTGAACTGGTCTGAAATAAAATCTATTTCATATAACCACAATTTGTTCCATAGAAATGTTCTGTGGGATTTAAGCTTCAATTTGACGCTAAGTTTGTTACAATCGGTATTTTTTCATCATCTTCCTTGGTTTACAAAAAAGGTCCTTTCGAATCGTGACGTATTCGTGTAATAAGTAATGCGATTTGTAAAAAATTTGGACAAAATATCATGAATTAGCAATGAGTATTCTATAATCCCACAAAATTCTATAGGAACCTACACTCTTTATATATAATCCGGCGATGCAGCGAGGACAGATCTCCATGGGGACGCATTAGGCTATAATCATCATGTTGGTAAATGTCTAATTAATATAACATTTAAGGCCTAAAGAAAGACCTGCAATAGGTAAATTAGGCTCTTGAGTAATGTATCTTTAAATTCCTGGGGTGATTATAAAGTTAGCAAAATTACATGCTTTTCCATTCTTTTTATGAGGATAACATGGCTAAGTGGGTAAGACGCTGGCTCGCTAGCCTGGAGGTCGAGAGTTCGATCCCTGCATTGGCCGAGAAAGTTCATCCAGATTTTCCGGCGTGGTTCCCCCTTGTCAGTGATGCAGGACGGAGGGCCTGGCAAGGACAGCTGTCTAGTCCTTAGGATGATACGAAAAACCGAGGTCCCGCGTATACATTGGAATGCACGTAAAAGATCCCTTGGCAGTTGGAATTCGAAATAAGAGTAGGCGATAATGCCGCTGCCCGGGCAAAATTTCCCTCATAGCACACTGTATGGCGTATGGCCGTCTTCATTAGCCCAGTATAGGAGCAGAACAGTAGGACGTTAAACCCCATTTCATTTCATTCTTTTCATGTTAATATTTGGCACTTCAAAATAGACAAATAGAAGAGAGGGAGAGAGAGAGATTAACTTACACTCGACACAAACTAGGTCATTTCGGGACTAAGTAATGCATCTTTAAATTACTTGGGTTATTATGAATTTAGTCAACAAAATTACATCCTGGTTTCTATACACAGATTTTGAGAGAAGATATATTACCGACAGCGTCCTCACTCCTTAGAAATGTATGAGTATGACCGGAAAGATCATGACACATTACCGGTTTTTATATCTTAGCCAATAGTCAGAAGGAGGCAATTTATGCGTGTCTGCGTGTGATCTATAAATAGAACAGTCAGCGATAAGCGCACAATATTTAGTTATATATGTGTCTCTATGTATAAACTATTCAACAGAGAGACTTGTCTTCAAGTGTACCAGTGAACACAGAGTAATTGTAACTACGTAGTCATAGCTGCATATATCCTATATAATTCATGATCCTGAAACAAACACACACGGTAAGTTGTTCTAGAACAGTAGGGCGATGGTTACATGATTATTGGTTACACTCTCTTGTATTATCAACCTGTAACGGTAAATCTCTTTGATCTTTGGGGTATATTCTATGCCCGGAATAACTTGCGGTCTGAAATTCGGGGGCGGCTTTGGATATATACGGAAATTTGGGGTTATTCTTCTGAAAGTTTTTCTTCAAACCTATACCGGGTTATTCTTCCAGGGTAGGTTATTTTCTTCAGTCTTTCTTTCCCCAGCATAACCTCACTCTCGTGCTTTATCCTACACTTAGTGGATATAGCGGGGGGGGGGGGGTCCAAATCTAGAGCTGCATCAACAATCCCACCTCACAATTAATCGTATTGCCTATATAGCTGTTCTCCGATCAACCTCACCCCATCACCCCCACCCCTTACACCCGCGGCTGATCCCTTGTCAGCTTTTGAAAACCAGTCTGTATTTAGTACAATGAATCCATTTTACCAAAACGCAAATCTCGTATCAATCGCTTGTTTTTACCATACCGTTTTACTTGACATATGCGTTCTCTTTGTTGAACCTCGTGAACGCTCTAATGCTCTTTGTGAAATTTATATGCAATATTTAAGTTAGTGAATCGAAGAAGCCTATTGAATTTAAACAATTTCTGTTTATTATGTCTAGAGTTATGGCCCTTGTTTCACTTTATTGAACCTTGTGAACGCTCTAATTCCAAAAGTTATCATCTGATCTTTCTGAAATTTACATGCATTATTTAAATTAGTGAAACGAAGAAGTCTATTGAATTTCAGCAATTTCCGTTTATTACGTCTAGAGTTATGGCCCTTGTTTCACTTTATTGAACCTTGTGAACGCTCTAACGCCAAAAGTTATCATCCGATCTTTCTGAAATTTATATGCATTATTTAGATTACTGAAACGAAGAAGCCTATTGAATTTCGGCAATTTCCATTTATTACGTCTAGAGTTATGACCATTGTTTCACTTTATTGATCCTTGTGAACGCTCTCACGTCAAAAGTTATCCGATCTTTCTGAAATTTATATGCATTATTTAGATTACTGAAACGAAGAAGCCTATTGAATTTCGGCAATTTCCGTTTATTACGTATAGAGTTATGGCCCTTGTTTCACTTTATTGATCCTTGTGAACGCTCTCACGTCAAAAGTTATCATCCGATCTTTCTGAAATGTATATGCATTATTTAGATTGCTGAAGCGAAGAAGCCAATTGAATTTCAGCAATTCCCGTTTATTACGTCTAGAGTTATGGCCCTTGTTTCACTTTATTGATCCTTGTGAACGCTCTAACGTCAAAAGTTATCATCCGATCTTTCTGAAATTTATATGCATTATTTAGTTTACTGGAACAAAGAAGTCCATTGAATTTCTGCAATTTCCGTTTATTACGTCTAGAGTTATGGCCCTTGTTTCACTTTGTTGAACCTTGTTAATGCTCGATTGATGATAGCTATCATCCGATATGCATGAAATTTATATGCATCATTTAAATTTGTCTATTGAATTTCAGCAATTTCCGTCAATAATTTCTAGAGTTATGGCGATTGTGAACGTTTGAATGACAAAAGTGATCATGTGATCTGTTTGAAATTTATATGCATTATTTAAATTAGTAAAACGAAAAAGCCTGTCAAATTTCAACAATTTCTGTAGATTACTTCCAGAGTTGAGACCCTTGTTTCAGTTTGTAGAACCTTGTAAACCCTCAAACGACAAAATTTATAATCTGATCTGTATGTAACTGTCTTGTAAAGGCCCCCGATTACCTACAAAGGAATAAATATGCGACAACCCTTGACGACCGCTCGGACGATTTAGCTGCTGTGGGCGTATGTTTTGTTGCCTGGCAACCTACCTTTAAAAGAAGTATTGCAAATACTAATCAATTATGTTCGCTGAAATACGTGAACAGTCAAATTTGAACGACAGTCTTTTACGCCGTCTAAGTTCATTCTACACGTTTTTATTTATGCGCCCCCCCCCCCTCCCGGTCAGTGATGCAGGACGGGGGGCCTGACAAGGACAGCTGTCTAGTCATTCGGATGGGGCAGAAAAAACGAGGTCCCGTGTACACATTGGCGTGCACGTAAAAGATCCCTTGACAGATGGAATTCGATATAAGAGTAGGCCGTAGTGCCGCTGTCCGGGTAAAATTTCCCTCATAGCACACTGTATGCTGATTGCCCGTCTTCATTAGCCCAGTTCGGAGCAGAACAGTAGGACGTTAAACCCCATTTCATTTCATTTCATTTCGTTTTTATTTATTATTATTTTGTCTTATGTGGATCAGCCATTACTAATTACTTTGGTACACTACACGACTCGTGTACTGATTATAAAATGTTGATCGTGTCTTAAATATCGGATATTAGGATTCTATAGCTTCAGAGCACGATAACACCAATATTGATTGGAATTGACCAGTATTGAATTCTAATTCATGTTTTTAATTTCAGATGATACTGTATCACATCATAGGCGTTTTATTGTTGGCCAGTGTTTGGTGTCAAGCATGTCCATCTGGTTGTACTTGTCGAGATGCCACAGCGGATTGTTATGGAAAGCTACCAAGGATGTCCCAATTTCAACAACAAACAATAGATATCTCTATTCACGACGTGGAAACAGATGAAATCCCAGAGAACACATTCGCAGATCTGAAGAATCGTAATAGAATAAACTTATACAATATGAAAATTAGGAAAATAAAATACGGCGCCTTTAAGAATATCGAGAACATCAAGGGAATCAACCTCTATTCCTCCACAATCGGCACCATAGAGACAAATGCCTTTACGGACATTCGAAACCTGTCGGTGCTTTCGATTTACAGCACGAATATCACAACCATCGAACCATACGCTTTCAATCGCATCAGGGATTTAGGAAGATTTGCAATTTATGATGTGAAAATCGACAGTATAAAAACTCAAGCTTTCGCGAATTTCTATCGTTTAAATTTGTTTACGATATATTCCTCAAGTCTAGACTTAATCCAAAATAACACATTTTATAAATTTCTAAATATAAAAAAGATAACGTTTTACGATAATACGGTTGGCGAACTTCAGTGTAATAGCCTCGACATTTTAAAGAAATTAAACGGAAGCGACGTTAATTATTACAGTAATCGTCTAACGTGTGACTGTAAATTATCCTGGTTTGTCCATGCCGTCATTGAAAACCCTAGGAGATATGGCAACGATGATGGAAATGTTTGCAATGCTCCACAGAAATATAAAAACAGAGGCCTGGTATCTGTTGCTCTAGAAATCTCAAGCTGTCCGGGTCAGAAACAAGCATGCCCGTCAGTTACCGACCTGGAAGGGAAAAGAGATACCGACAATAGCGCGAATGTAGGTGACAACGGGGGATCAAGCGCTGATAGTTTATTCAACCTCCAACCCTTTCTTATCACATCTCTGCTTGTTATTACGTTCCTCTAGTTATAGTTATACAATACTTATTATAAACGATACTTACAGCTGCTGGTCGTCAGTTGAAATGAAATGATATGAAATGAGGTTTAACGTTCTACTCCTGCACTGTCCACTCCTATACTGGGATAATGAAAACGGGTATACGCCATACTCTTATCAAATTCCAACTGCCAAGGGATATTTTACGTGCACGCCCATCTATACACGAGGCTTCGATTTTTCGTACCATTCGAACCACTAGACAGCTGTCCTTGTCAGGCCCTCCGACAAGTGGAAACCACGTCTGGACAATCCTGATGAACCTTCTCGGCTAATTCAGGGATCGAACATGCGACGTCCAGGCTAGCGAGCCGGCGTCTTACTAACTTAGCCACCGTGGCTCAATCGCCATTTGAATTTGTATAAACGGGCAATGTCTAATTTTCACGACTTGATTTACGCTAAAATAAACAAATTGGTAATTCAACATTTACATAAGAAAACAAACTATATTTAATCACCCGGCTTGTGTTCAGTCGGATAAAAGATGCGCACGAAAATATTTCAACGAAAAGTATAGGGCCTGGCACGTTACAGCCTATAGGTCGTTAGGATGGACGAAAAACCGAAATCCCGTGTACACATCGGTGTGCACGTAAAAGATCCCTTGGCATTTGGAATTCTATATAGGAGTAGGTGGTAGCGCAGACTTTCCCTTGTAGCACATCGTATGGAGTATGCCAGTCTTCATTAGACGAGTCGGAGTAAAACCTAAAACATTTATCCCCATTTCAGTTTGATTTCATAATGCTACGTTCCCACTATAACGGTTCGCGCTACGATTAAAATCTAAACTTACGGTATCTGTTTACAACTAGCTCCGCTTGAGAACAGACACTAAGCTAGTAGACATACTATGACGGGCGGATGCGGTCACAATGGGCCATTTATATGACTTACTAATTCCATTTATATGACTTACTAATTCCATTTATATGACTTACTAATTCCATTTATAAAGCTTTATAATTAATTACTTACTTAGGCACGTGTGGACGCTGAAACCCATCGAAATGGGTGACTGAATTGAATATTATTTTCATAGTTTGATAAATGATTATGAAACTACGTAATTATTTATCAAGTCTTATAAATCCATTTATATAACTTAGCAAATAATCGGCAATCTCCGTACTCCTTCGTTGAGTCGGCCAATTGGCCAATCAAATCCCTCGTTACATATAGCGGTGTTTTACCTTTCATGGCGGCTATTGTAAACATAAAATGACGAGAATAAGTTTTATGCATGTTTTAGTTATCCTAGCGTCAATTTACTTTGCTAAGGTCACCGCTCCCCCTCCACCCACCGACCGGGGTAGTTCTTTTCACAATTTCTTGCGAGTTTGCCGAAATATCGTGTCGGATGTTGTGCGGCACGCGTGGGCCCAAGCCCTTGAAGACAACATACCCTCATCCTGACCATGGTCATCTTCTGCAGGAAGATTAGTGCGTCCGAATTCCATTAAAGGAAAAAATGCACGAATAAAATGATGTAGGCCCTATGACACCGACGCACACAACTCGAAAACCGCGGACGGGAGTGGGAGGGGCTTGCCATTCAGTAAGACGACCTGTGATTGGCTGGCCGAAGCATCCTCGGGAATTTCCGGGCAGATGTACGAACTTTCCCGAATATTTAGTTCGTTAGATAATTCATTTATAAGACTTAGAAAATAGATTTATATAGCTACCATATTATTTACAAGACTTTATAAATCATTTATCAAGCTATGAAAATAATATTCAATTCAGTCACACGCTTCGAGGGGTTTCAGCGTTCGCACGTGCCTAAGTAAGTAATTAATTATAAAGCTTTATAAATGGAATTAGTAAGTCATATAAATGGAATTAGTAAGTCATATAAATGGCCCATTGTGACCGCATCCGCCCGTCATAGTAGAATGACATTTTAAGTCCTAAATTAACGATTTTAGTTGAAAACACTAAGTATATTTCGAGGATTTTGATAAGTATATATTCTGATTTCATTTAATAAAACTGAAAATGTTTAATTAGGCTTTTTGTGTAATAACAGAACCGTAATACAAAACAGTAAACTAATTGTTGGATATGGTGGCCGTTTTGGGCCGAGATCTATTCTCAAAGTAAAGTAGATAGTTCTCTGTGTGCAGAACTATATACCGGAAAACACCGGAAAACTACCGGAAAACACCATGTTATACCGAATACCGGAAAACACCGGAAAACACTAAATACCGGAAACACACTAAATACTGAAAACATCATAAATAGGTAACCCAGAGTCTGGTTCTCTGTTTGCGGGAAGTTAGGGTTAGGGTTAGGGTTAGGTTTTTCCGGTGTTTTCTAGAGAACCAGGCTCCGAGTTACCTATTAAGAGTGTTTTCTGGTATTTAATGTTTTTCCGGTGTTTTCCGGTATTCAGTATAACATGGTGTTTTTCCTGTGTTTTCCGGTATATAGTATAGCCCCTTTTTTGATCTCATGTGCTGCGTTAAACTTGGCCCTTGTCATCCGGACTCACATTTGCGCACACTTCTAAATCATCGAACGATTGAAAACGCTAAAACTGTTCTACCAAATGACAACAGGCATTTCTTTAGCATTTTACAAAATATATACTTTATTATGTTTTATATTATTTGATTTTAAATAACCAATTGTTACAAAGCATTAAACATACATTATGCAAGAGCTAAATCTGCCTATTGCAGGTCTTTCTTTAGGCCTGAAATGTTATCTTAATCATTAATTAGACATTAATTAACTTATCAAGACCATAATCAACTCCCGAGGGCATCGCCAGGCTGTGATGTTTATTGTATTAGGTTTCGATTTGCTGTTCGACTTCCATTATCATAATTAAATCATGAAATGGATAATGGAGAGTATTTGTTTTCCTACCGATTTTAGTAATGATGATCGAGGCTAGGTCGAAAATTCAATCGCTAACATATCGGTTCATAGTGGATCAATTTGACAGAAATTTTCAGCAAATTCTCTTTACATTATCTAATTTTTAACTATTATAGTGAGAACTGCCAGCTCTTTATCTAATCTCCCATAATGTATCTTTAACAAGGGCAAATTTTTGATTTAGGGTCCTGGGCCCCCAAAAAAGGCCCAGCATTCAAGTGCTATATCTAAGCCGTTCATGATATTTTCTAGACAGAGTCGAACGGATTATCGTATATGTATAAGATATCTGCTATTTATATCTATTTTTATATATGTATGTTATTATCGTATATGTATAAGATATCTGCTATATATATATATTTTTTATTTATGTATATGTATGTTATATGCTTTGTAAATATTGAACGTTATGCTAAATAAACATTAGCCATTTTATTTATATTGGTAACGGAGAAGAATTTGGTTATGAAGATTTTCCAGAAAGTATTATTTTATATCCATACGATATCTGCTATTTATATATGTTTTTGTTATTTATGTATATGTATGTTATATATATGCTTTGTAAATATTGAACGTTATGCTAAATAAATGATAGCCATTGATAACGGAGAAGAATTTGGTTATCAAGATTTTCCAGGACGGGATAGCGCGTTTAATTACGATTAGTCGAATTTGAATAATAGAGTGCTTTCAAAAGTATTGAAATGAAATTGAACCATATGTTAGTCCCTAAATGCCCCCCCCCCCCTCCTGTACCAAACTCATAAATCGTTCCATCTCTCTCTCTCTCTCTGGGGGTTTGAATGGCCGAATGGTTAGCACGTGCGCGCTGTATCATACGGTCTGTCATTAAGTGAATTGGCGTGGTTTTGAATCCCCGGTTGTACGTGACAAGGAGTAGTGTCGCCTGCCTAACCTCGTAAGTTTTCTCCGGGTCCTCCGGTTTCCTCTCACTGCTAAAGACCCCTACGCGCAGGCGATTATTGAAATAAAACTGAACCACATGTTAGTCCCGAAATGACCTAGTTTGTGTCGAGTGGACGTTAAACCCAATCTCTCTCTCTCTCTCTCTCTCTCTCTCTCTCACACACCCACACATTAACCTCTAGTGTAGATACTTCATATAGTCAAAACAATGTTTTATTTTAATCCCTGTGAGTGGGATGTTGATATGCGACATTTAAAGTAGCTAAGTCTCTAACTCAATATCATCCAAAATCTTCAACATTGAAAACACGATTTATTTGTCAAATTAAATCAACATTCATGTTGTGATCTTATCGGAAAAAGATGGGCTTTTGATATCCAATATTTAAGACAAAATAAACATTTTACCATTGGTACACGAATCGTGTACCATAATGCGCTTCAGCACCAGTTGTATCAAGAGACTCGAGGGACGAGGCTAGACACATTGCACCAAATCAAACGGCGTATGTAGACTGGAATAACAAGACGCTAGAAATTTGCACTCGCTTGAGACTGCTGGCTTATTTCGCCGAACATAACTGATTTGAAATTGGAGTAAAAACGGGAACCATTGAATGTAAATCAGTTTATATACATTCATATTACAGTATTATATGCGTTGCGACCCACTTTTGTCAATTTCTAGGTCCCAAATGTTAGCGATTTAGCTCCTTTAACCTCATTATCTAAGGATGTAATGTGTGTTTTCCCGTTTAAATAATTATGTCGACGACCTTGACTTCTGCGGTTAATGAATGAGCTCTCTGTCGGGGAAACGGTGTAAATCCTGTATGGTTTTTTTTTTAATTTTAATTTTACATCCTTAGTACTCCGATTGTTGAAGGCAGTTAATCACATGAAAGAGGTAGATTAATCATTATGAAATAACGTCATTTGATGAAAACTTAGTACATGTACATAATTTTATATAGTTCACGAAAGAAATGAAATGAAATGGGGTTTAACGTCCTACTGTTCTGCTCCGAATGGGCCAATGGAGACGGGTATACGCCATGCAGTGCGCTATGAGAGAAATTTTGCCCGGCCAGCGGCACTGTCGAATTCCACTTGCCAAGGGATCTTTTACGTGCACGCCAATGTGCACATGTACACGGGGCCTCGGTTTTCCGTCCCATCCGAATGACTAGACAGCTGTCCTTGTCAGCCCCTCCGTCCTAAACCACTGACAGGGGGAAACCACGTTGGAAAATCCCGATGAACAGTTCACGGAAGCCATGGTGACTCACCAACCCGGACGTCCTGGGATCAATGCTGCAGGGTGGAAGACTAATTGTCAAGGAACAGCGTCTCTAGTCCCGTATACAAGTTGGCAGTTGTAGAATCCGAGAGAGAGAGAGAGAGAGAGAGAGAGAGAGTTGGGTTTAACAGAGCACTGATAAAGTATTTATGCATTTCGTGGGATTCGATTAATTTTTGACTGAATTATGACCCTTTGTTAACTTAAAATGATTGAACTTTTTGAAAAGAGAGAAAAAGAGAAATAAGATTTATCATCCACTCGACACAAACCAGTTGATTTTGGGACTAACATATCGTTCAATTTTATTCCAACAATTCGCTTGCACATAAGGGTCTTTACCAGTGGGAGGAAACCGTACAGCGGGGAATAAAAATGATTGACCTTACGATTAAACGCTAACTATTCGGCCGTAGCGTCGCTCTCCGTACACATTGGTGGACACATAAATTGGAATAACCCTCGACAGCTTAAATTGTCTGCGATATCACCTCGGTGGAAGCGGACGTAAAATACATCTAACTCATCATCATCGACAGCTTAAATTCGGAATTGGAAATAAGTGTAGGCCGTAGAACCAATGTCCGGACAAAATGTCCCTCGTGTGTTTTGATGCTTATAGACTCATTATATAATATTGTACATTCATAAATGATCACCCCAGATGTTATGTTATAATTGTATGATCAACTTTTGTTTAAACTGTGTATGCTGTCCGTAGTGGATACAATGATAAAATAAAATCTTATCGTATCTAGCACACTGTATGGCGTATATGCCCGCCTTCATTAGCCCAGTCATTTCATTTGTTTTGTTTTTTTAACAAGCACTTGGAGAATCAGTACTGTGTATGCGTAATCGTTTAACATGGATTCTGCAAGAGCTAAATCTGCCTATTGCAGGTCTTTCTTTAGGTCTGAAATGTTATCTAAATTATTAATTAGACATTAATTAACTTAAACAGACAATAATCAACTCTCGGTGGCATCGCTAGGCTGTGATGTTTATTGGATTAGGTTCCGATTTGCTGTTCGACTTCCATTCATAATTAAATCATGAATTGGATAATTGAGACTATGTTTTTATCCTATTGACTTTAGTAATGATGATCGAGGCTAGGCCGAAAATTCAATAGCTAAAATCTCGGTTCATAGTGGATCAATTTGACTGAAATTTTCAGGAAATTCCCTTTACATTATCTACTTTTTAACTATTATAGTGAGAACTGTCAGCTCTTATATATCAATCTCCCATAATGTATCTTTAACCAATCTGGTCTTATTGTGTTCAATCTTCAAAGGTAATTTAACTGTCTTTAAACATTTTGGAAAAACCTACGGTATGAATTAAAGTGAATGTAAAGAAACAAAAGTTGTGGTTTTTCGAAAAAGTCGGAATCTGTAAACTCTACTAAAAGTGAAATTAAGACAGTCAAATTCTTGTTGAAATTGTTTTAAATGATAAATATTTAGTCTCACATATTATTCCCAACCTGTCATGGTATAAAACATCTGTATATCGACAGAAAAAGCCTTGTATACCGTGTTTAAGTTCATAAATAGCAGAATTATGACACCGACGACAATTTAGCCTATCTGGGAATGGGGGTATCTGAAATGATTCATGTGGTCAACGTTGTAAGTCAGTAAAAATAATAAACTGGGTCAGTGAGTGAGTTAGTCTGCATGTCGCAATGTCTGTTACAGCAAAATAACTTCTTGGAAAATAAGTAACTTGTGGAGATGCCTCCCGTGACATTACAAATGAAATATATCAATAAAACCTGTAGATAGCCCACAGCAAAGATTATAGCTTATGAGACCTATTAAAATCGGTCATTTATGGTTTTCAACGCCCTGGGGTATAAGAGAAAGCTGATTTAAAGGGTACAGATTGTAGCGCCATCTATATAATCTTAGTAGCCAATGAAAATAGCGAAGACAGCCACGTGTCACGCGTCATTCCTTCACTTCCTGTAAATAAAGTCGATCGAGCAGAAGCTTCTCACCGAACTATTTTCATTTCGACGTTTTCTCAGCAAATCAGGTAAATATGGAATTATTTTTCACGATAGTTTTAAAATAATAACGTTTATTTTTCAAGTAATTAAATGAAAAACATATTTGGTAAGGTAAATACTGAAACATTGGTGACAATCTGGCGACGAATGATGCAAGATTCTTTTCTCGATGAAAATTGTTAGTTGTCGACGTGTCAAAGAATTTTACATTTATAATCGGTTCTTTGAAATTTTAAAAACATTAATTTATATAGATGTGTTGTTTATTGTGTAGATATCGGTATGTAATACACTCTATCTGAGAGTGTCAATTTAATTCTTGTGGGTAGAAATTCTACTCAATGTTCAAATAGATTTAAGTACGTAGTACGAAAAGCGAAGTTAAGTAACTCACAATTATTTGTCTCAACAAATAAAATTTATGAGTTATTTTAGTAAGTAGCCTAACCATTGTTCGATCAGCAAAGTTTGGCAATCACAATTTTTTTTCATACAAAGTGGATATTCAACCACATCTTGTTACCGTCTGGCAAAACTGAGGAATCTGACCAGACTTGAATTTTTTTTTTTTTTACTGCACTATGCAGTTATTTTTAGTGTCTTCCAAAATGACCTGTAGATTCCTTGCAAGTGTGTGTGGGGGGGGGGTGGATGGCAGAATGGTTAACGTGTGGGCGCCGTTGCCGCTGTATCATAAGGTCGGTCATTTAGTCAACTGCTGAATCGGCGTGGTTTTGATTACCCGGTTGTACGACTACGTTACAAGGAGTTCGGTTGCCTGTCCAACCTCGCGGGTTTTCTCAGGGTCCCCTGGTTTCCTCCCACTGCTAAAGACCCCTACGCGCAAGTGAATTATTGAAATAAAATTGAACCATGTGTTAGTCCTGAAATTACCAAGTTTGTGTTGTGTGGATGTTCAACCCCATTTCTCCCCCTCTCTCTCTCAGAAATATAGTTTGGGTAAAAGCACTTAATTTGATAATATTGTAATGTTAGTTTAATCAATATGTTTTGAATTTCCGTACTTGTATTTAAGTATTTTGTTATATTTTTCAGACATCATGGATCAGGTTATGCAAGTAGTAGAACCAGCGAAACAGTTTGTTAAAGATTCTATTAGATTAGTCAACAGATGTACGAAACCAGATAGAAAAGGTTGGTCAATCAGTTCATTCTTAATGTTTTTTTTGGACGATATTATTGGTGCCATAAGTGACGTAAATATATGGTAGGGTGACCCGTGCACTCTACAGAAAGTTGGTCTCGACACGGCGAATGTGCACGCTTCAGTTGCGTGTCTCGAACTGATTTCTGGCTACCCCACACTCCCTTTGAGTCTATAAATAGCCATGGCACGT